ACAATAACTAAAATAGACTTTAATTAACTCTCTACTTGGAATTAGAATTGCTACATAATTACATCCGAGCTGCCAGTTTTTCCACAATTGTAAATGGAAAGAACAGGAAACGTCTACATTAATAATTAACACACATATTTAAGATAATTTCGTTGTTAATTGTGTTGTTTGTTTGTTAAAGTACGTTTAGGAATCCCTTGATTCACAAACACAAACTATTAAACAACAAGTCGGGTCCTTTTCTATTGGCAAATCTATTACACATCAGTTTTCGTTATCACATATTTTGTGAGAGGTTCTGCACTTTTATGAATATTAATCCTTTTTTTTTTTTTATCTTTTTGATAAGGAATTAATCAATGTACTGCCTACGACCACCGAGCAAAAAAGCTAAAAAATATCGCTTCTTCTCCTTATCCGAGTGCAATCGTTTGGTTCATCACGCACGGGACACATAAAGTGTCACATGCTATTAAGAATGACTGTCTCCAGCACAGCGGGTGTATAGATGGTTACCTTTACTGATGTTGTAACAGTTCCAAGAAATTATTTATTTAGCATCTTTAGAAAAGGTTAAGATCATTGAACTGATTACAAGAATGTACTACCAATAGATACCCAAGATAAGCGTACTAAGGCGTTAAGTTTGCCATCAATGAAACCTGTTAAACAAAGTACAAGTATATCGATTATGCATTGTTACCTGATCGCGCCACCGTCATGCATAGCTTCGAAAAGTGCAGTAGGTTTATATATGATACATTTCAGTCATCAAATTCTTGTATTTTTATGAATTCAAATTCATTTCTGACTGAAACAATAAGTTAATATACAGGTAAACAGGATTTTCAATTACTCTCTGAATATTATGGATCATGCCCCAAATAAAGCACTGTAAAGATGATCAGAGATTGTTCACATTATCTACACCATTTAACACTGTACATTAAGAGAAACATCTCGTTTTATTGTTGGATTATTAAGACTACAACAGACGTATACATTCCTTTTAAATGAATTATAAAGTATAGCGTTTATCTTATTGACGTTATTCATCAAAAATCCTCGCATAAAGAGGGGGTGATGATTATAGGATAAAATTATTCTTTTGAATGCAAACACATTTTGATTACAGTTTCACTTTTACGAGCTCAAACAATAATATTGTAATTTATACAATCTTTTGAACATAGAACATTATACACCCTCTGTGGATGAGTATACTTCCAGATTCATTAATATACCATTGATGTTGTACAAAAAACGGCCCGTACAAGACGTTTTCTGAAGTCAGCACAAAGTCAGAGAAACAAGTACTAATACAATAGGTCTCATTTTCGTTCCAAGTGATAACGAATGACATACAATATATGCCTCAATAAACGTCCCTGTAAAAGAATAGCAGATTAAGACAGATGAACATGATACAGCAGGTGTTAGTGTAATAAGGACTCGCTTATAGTACACTTCCTTTGTATTTCCCATAACTAATACGAATCCTGATTACAGTAAATGACTCTTATTATTTTGCATTACATGCGTGGATCTAGTACAATCATTATGAGTCGTTCCTAAAATAGTAACGGCGATAATGTCGTTGTATATCTAACACTCCTCATACTTCGTTTTACACCATTCTTAAGTGCCGTACCATAAATAATATATTTTTTGTTTTACTATGCATTCCAGCTTATGATCCTTTGAATTATGTTTATATTTCAATAAGTAAAATCTTGTTCATTAGTCCGTTGTGAAAATCGCTCCGTTTGATGAGTTACATTTCGGACACNAAATATATATATATATATATATATATATATATATATATATTACTTACATAAAATATTATAAAATATTACCATGGATTAGTCATAAAGGAGTAAATAATCTCACATGAAGTTATTTTGTGTAAAAAAATATCACATTGTGTTCTATATATATATCAAATCTGATATTGTGTTTTATCTGTATAGCAAATCTCATATAGTGTTTTATTGGTTTAACAAATATCACACTGAGGTACAGTGTATTATAAAAATATATGTCACAAATCTGACATCATGTTATTATGAGTTAAACATACCTTACACTGTGTCAATATGTAAACAGATATGTGCAACAACATCATAAGGAAAAACGCGCAGCTTCCACATGTTTAACGAATGTTAATGAAATAGACATGGCAAAAGAGCAATTCCATCAAAATTGCTAGTGTAAATAATGATGGGTTTTGTCGCCGCAAATACGTGCCGGCAAATTTCCGTGTGTTTGCTTAGGTAACTACATGTAATGCACCAGCTACTAATGGAATAATATCTTATAACACAGAGAAATAAACAACCTGTTGATTTGCTTATTACGCCTGAGTGATTACGCCTGAGTGAAAAGGCAAACACAACATCACATGCTCTTTTATTTTGCCTTTCATCATTCTGGTAATGGTTTCGGTGAGCGAACCACGGTCTGTCATTTAAGTATGCCTCTTGGAACTTCTGTATACATCTCTTCTCATCATATGTTACAATACCACGAACATGCATATAGAAAGATGAAATTAATGAAATAAAAAAATACAGAATATAAATTTTAAAGCAACTGTATAAACAGCATGTATACAACATGATATTAAACACTAATGATAAATCAGGCTCTTAAAATAATCGGAGAATGTACCTTTTACTTATCATAAATTCTATAAATGACAATGGAATACGTTGACAAAGTGCAGAAAGTTCAATTTGTCCATTGGAATGAAATGATATTAATTAGAATGTGCTGAAAACATTTATTACTAAGTGGACAATAGAAACATGTCGAAAGTTGGATATACATATATAGTCCGAGATATTCAATTCTTACGTGACACTTTAATCTGGAGGTTCATTTATTACCATTATGATGAGCTCCGCGCGATAAACTGCTGCTTCGACAAAGCAAATAATAGTTTCCTGGCACACATGAAGGACGTATCTATCATAGAGAGACTTCATCACGATAATTGACGTGTTGTCTCATCCTTTGTTGATAATGATGTTAGCGCTTTATGTTCGTGTCACAAGGCATTACTGTGAACCCTACTAAATGGACCGCAGGACTGACAAATCGTCAGTTAGACCCACAAGAGGACATAGCAGGACTGACAAATCGTCAGTTAGACCCACAAGAGGACATAACAGGACATCCTTCTGGTGGCATTATGTAACAAAACAACGACGGAGCAATTGTTAAAACGTGTCTTATTTCTTTTATTTTAAAAAGGTTAATTCAAAAGATTTTTTTCGATATCGTTACGTTTTTTAACCAGTAATTTGTATAAGTGTCGTTGACTTCGCAATTAACGGCTTGCGTTTCTTTTTTGCATAGGTTTATTTTTCAGTATGATAGCCAGTATAGGTTATGAGAAAAGATTTTTGTTTATACCATTAAAGGCACTAGTTCTCTAAAACATAGAGAAAAAGCACCATTTTATTAGTATAAGTGTCGCCTTTTATCGCGAAACATTTTTTTAATACATCTATGTTAAAAAAAGAGACACACAATACTTGTTTCGCCTTTCTGTGGTAAATGCGCCGTTTTTTTTAATTTTTCTTACCCAAACTTCCGTTAAAAAACCAGAAAGTGAAACTGCTGCTTTCATTGACCATACGGCATTTTTTCAAGGCGCAATGAGTTTTGCGAAAAAAAGTAAAAGGACCTCGCGCAAATTACAGACTTAAAATGACGCATTTTTGCCTTCTAAACAGCGGGTTTCACACCGACAACAGGCGCCGTTTCTTTTTCAAGGAATTGCTTATTTGATAGACCCCATCCTAAGAAAACAATTCATAAGACATTTCAGAAAGAAAAGAAATAATAAAACAAAACTATTTCTGACAATGTGATGACAATCCAATCTCTTAAACTCTCTTAAGTTTGTAAGTCTTCTATACACCTGAATATTTGATATATGTTAATGCTGATAAAAAGGAAAGTATGCGATATATGTAATTAATATTTCAAACGCTTTATGCGGATGTTACTTAAATTCCATATCATAAAACGAATATTCACATAAGTAATCACATAATATGTAAATGCCCCGGAAAAGATATCAATATAATTTGTTAGAATATTTCACATTTTATAATTGATGTTAAGAGAAAGATAATTAAGAAATTGTCTAAATATAATATTTATTGAAAATCAAAAAGAAGTATATTAATAACATTGTATGCTATGTCTATTTGTATTTATTCCTTATAGACAGTGTATTTCCAACACTGAAATCGTTCTTATTTTTTCGTTATCAGTAGATAAATTCCTTCGCTAAAACTTATTTTTTTATCAAAGTTATTTTATTTCAATAAACGTAACATCTGTTCGCCAATAATCGTCACTTACACATGTAATGATGTGAATATTATCGCAAACTTTAATGTTTTCAGCAAATCAAAATGTCCACTTGCATAACACGTCTTTGTCGTAAGCTTTCAAATACTAATGTTCGTTGCTTTATGAAAGATTCCTTCAACCCGAATCATTATCTCAATCACCTGTTTTTTATGCTTACCCATTAAAATAATAGAAACGTAAAAGCGACCCTCGCTTTTCGGCAAGGACATCGCCCGGTATTTTATTAATGCATATAACAAAAGATGATTCAAGAGTTTAAATATATCTTCAAATATGTTGAAAAGCATATTATCGTGTGACTTATAGCATCCGCTTAAGCGATATGCGACATAATGTAACGATAGTAAAATGCAACTACCTTTACAGATAAAACGTTATCAATAGCTTTTAATAATAAAAACAGATATTTCTTTACTTAATGATCGCCGATTGCTTTGAAATGACAAAAATGTAACAAAACAGCCGAAAAGATCTTTTAAAAATAGCTATTGTCTATTTTAATCCTGCTTTCTAAGAACTTGTTAAATGTAATTCATAGGTATCAAAACATGCATTTCTTTTAATCAAAATCAATCACAAACGGTAACAAAATTATTAAGATATCTTACCTGCAAACGAATCTTGATCCAGAAAATATATCCTTATCCAAAAACTGTCTATTATACAGTGTTTCTTAACGATACAAAGCTCGAGCGCAGATCTTTGGTCACCAGGTCACCCAACACTACAAAATACAGAACCAAAGCGAATCAACTCTTACACCACGCGCGCATCGTACTGTACACTGCGAGAGTGAAACTAGAGACTGACCGAGCCCATCAGACGCTCAGCCACTGTAGCTATCTACCAGAGGCGGGAACAACGCTCTCTAATATATTAGCATAATTATCCCTATATCTGCGGTGGAGGGATGAGCAGGGATATCGGTGCTGGTGCTGAACACAACGTGCAAACACCATGTAAAATAGCTCTGTCAACGTCTTAACACATAATTATATACCCCGGCCACTACGATTGATTGATGATCGATAGGCACTGCGTCAGTTCATCTTTGTATGTATTGTATGGTAAATAAGAATTGTAAAGGTACGCATAAGTACAGATGTACCAGGTACCGAAGGTGTAAAGTATATGTAAAACCATATGCTTTAGGAAAGAAGATCGTATCTTTTCTATACTGAAGTATATATTGTCTAAATTTTAAAAATAGCTGAAGAGTTAAAATCAAACAGTGAAAGTAAGAAACAAGAACTTCCTTAAATACACCAAAGAATGCGTGCGAGTCCCACGTTTCGTATCACAATTAGTTCTGCTTCATTAGGCCGTTCTAGCTATTCTCTTTGACGTCACACGTGAATGGTTCCGACTTCTTCCTTCAGTGCTAGTTCATACAAATACCATAACAATGTCAATTAATACGTTAGGCAGAAAACTATGCAGTAAACGATTGGAGTACTTACTCACTTATTATCATTGTATGATTATTAATCAAATTTAGGAAAATTAGAGCATTTATATCTAGGGAAGTAGGTTTAAATAGCAACACGGACAAATTATTAAGCACGGTTTCTTCGCTATGACATTATGAATGTGTATAGTTGTATTACCTCAACGACAAGTGCGATTTGTTATTTCTTATCAACTTGTATAGTGTTATTACCAGGTAGCACGTGTATAGTGTTCTTCGATACCAACACTTGTATATTGATTTATCCCAGCAACATGTGTTTATTGCAATTACCTAGCAACAGGTGCATTGCTATTCGTGTTGTTATTATATAGAATAATGTATATTGTTACTTTCTAGCATCAAGTGCATTGGTATAACCTAGCAACAAGTACACAATGATATTACCTAGCAACAAGTACACAATGATATTACATAGCAACAAGTGCACATTGATATTACATAGCAACAAGTACACATTGATAGTACATAGCAACAAGTACAAAATGATATTACATAGCAACAAGTGCACATTGATATTACATAGCAACAAGTACACATTGATATTACATAGCAACAAGTACACAATGATATTACATAGCAACAAGTGCACATTGATATTACATAGCAACAAGTGCACATTGATATTACATAGCAACAAGTGCACATTGATATGACATAGCAACAAGTGCACAATGATATTACATAGCAACAAGTACACATTGATATTACATAGCAACAAGTGCACATTGATATGACATAGCAACAAGTGCACATTGATATTACGTAGCAACAAGTGCACATTGATATTACATAGCAAGAAGTACACATTGATGTTACATAGAAACAAGTACACATTGATGTTACATAGCAACAAGCGCCCATTGATGTTACATAGCAACAAGTACACAGTGATATTACATAGCAACAAGTGCACATTGATGTTTCATAACAAGAAGTACACATTGATGTTACATAGCAAGAAGTACACATTGATATTACAAAGCAAGAAGTACACATTGATGTTACATAGAAACAAGTACACATTAATATTACAAAGCAACAAGTACACATTGATATTACATAGCAACAAGTGCACAATGATATTACAGAGCAACAAGTGCACATTGATATTACATAGCAACAAGTGCACAATGATATTACATAGCATCAAGTACACATTGATATTACATAGCAACAACTGCACATTGATATTACATAGCAACAAGTGCACAATGATATTACATAGCAACAAGTTCACATTGATATTACATAGCAACAAGTGCACAATGATATTACATAGCAACAAGTTCACATTGATATTACATAGCAACAAGTGCACAATGATATTACATAGCATCAAGTACACATTGATATTACATAGCAACAAGTGCACAATGATATTACAGAGCAACAAGTGCACATTGATATTACATAGCAACAAGTGCACAATGATATTACATAGCATCAAGTACACATTGATATTACATAGCAACAAGTGCACAATGATATTACAGAGCAACAAGTGCACATTGATATTACATAGTAACAAGTGCACATTGATATGACATAGCAACAAGTGCACATTGATATGACATAGCAACAAGTGCACAATGATATTACATAGCATCAAGTACACATTGATATTACATAGCAACAGGTACACATGGATATTACATAGCAACAAGTACACATTGATAGTACATAGCAACAAGTACAAAATGATATTACAAAGCAACAAGTGCCCATTGATATTACATAGCAACAAGTACACATTGATATTACATAGCAACAAGTACACAATGATATTACATAGCAACAAGTGCACATTGATATTACATAGCAACAAGTGCACATTGATATTACATAGCAACAAGT